TTTTCATTTTGTAGAGAAATGTTTATTCTACTGAATTATCTAGCTGTCATTTACGATTAGTTTGTAGCTTTGTTGCAATAACTTTTCGAAAAAGAGCAAAAAATGGAAGCCGTTAGCTGGACAAGCCGATCTATATGTCACAATCGTACGTATTTTGAAAAGCAAAACTTCTAAAAGAGTAAAAATCCTAGAAGAGCATCTGCCCCAGACGAGCAAATGTGCGAAGAGCTTTTGTCCTAGGAAAGCAAAAGTCTGGAAAGCTTTTATCCGGTTAGCGAATGTCCGGAGGATATTTACCTAGGGAGTATGTGGCCCAATATCTTAGTTTAGAGAACAGAATAGGATCTATCTTTAATTAATGGACGATGACCAATATCTAACCATTTCTATTGCCATTTATCATAATAAATAGAAAAAGAAAACAAAAGTAAGCCACTTACGTTTATTAAATATTTCCTCTTATGTCTGGGATACAACTACAAAAAACTAAATATAACAAATTACTTTCCTGCAAGTAAAAAATAAAAAAATCTTAAATACTAAATGATATTGCTAATATATATTTAAGAAAAATAAAGAGAAAAGAATTTTTTTTCATCCTCTATCCAATTTATTTTTCTTTCTCAAAAAATATTTTTATGTTCATTTAAGATGTTGATTAGTCACTTAATGGGTTGCTTTAATATTTAAAGTATCTGTTATTTCTACAAAAGAAGTAAAATAGAGGTCGAAAGAACTAAATACGGTGACACAGTTTAAATTATAAGAAGAAAACACGAAACAACTTTACAATTTTGTCGGTGAATATATCGAAGTAACTGAACAATCAGACATTTTTTTATTTCAAGCAATTTTGTACTTGATCAATTTTTACCTCTTATGTTGCCTCAAGAGACAAGGAAAAACAATGCTGTAGAAACAATCGAAAAGAATTCACCACCGCTTGTCCATACGAGCGCTACTTAATTTGACACTTTACAAAACTCACACTTATGGCAGTAGAAAATTTGTCATTTTAACCTAAAACTATTAAAAATTTTATAAAAAATTTCGAAAAATCTTCGTCTGAATAAAGTATTAGACACAATACGTGTATATTTCTATCTAAAGTAAAAAATGCACTTGACATCGATACTGATATGATAAATGAATCAATAAATTCTAATGAGTATAAATTTTTTTAATTATCAAACAGCTTTAGATATAAATGATCACCAAACTGTAAGGAAGGTGTGTTTTAATCAGCAAAAACTTACACCTCTGATCACTAAATCAATTAAAGATAATTTAAATTAAAGAAAATACATACAAGAAAAATATATACCAATTTAATACCCATTTATTTACTAGACAGACAACAAAAAGAATATTCGAAAGCAAGAATGGAAAGTATTACACACAGTTAGATCGTCCGATGAAGCGACTTCGCCAAGTTAAAAATAGTTTATAAAGTCGCTTCGCAGCGAAGTGAAAAACATAATGCGCGAATTCATAATATATTTATCTGATAATATAATCTGATCGATAATATTGGCAAACATTAAACTGTAATTTTGCGTATTCTTTCGCTTCATCGGACAATCGAGCTGTATGTAATACTTTCCATTCTTGCTTTCGAATATTCTTTTTGTTGTCTATCTATTAAAATTAATTTAGTATTAAATTGGTATATATTTTTTTTAATTGATTTTGTGATCAAGAGTGTAAGTTTTTGCTGATCAAAACACACTTTCCTCACAGTTTGATGATCATTTATATCTAAAGCTGTTTGATAATTAAATTTGTAATTCTAATACATACTCATTAAAATTTTAGCGGTAGCGTTGATTCGTTTATCATATCAGTATCGATGTCAAGTTCCCCTAATGGTTGAAAATGTGTTTATCACTAACTTGATACCCTACTGAATGTACTTGCGAGTGGGTACATATTTACTTGCAAATTTTTACGAGTACTTGGCAAGCGCTTGACAAGTATTATTTTCAAAAAATACTACTTGATAAATGCCTGAAAGCACTTGCCAGCTACTTGATGTACTTGGTGAATGTCCCACAGGCACTTGGAGGTTACTTAGGCAAGTGCTTTGCAAAGGACTTGACAAAAATTTAAAGTAATTCAAATACTTGATTTTCTTGGCAAGTACTTGGTTTACTTGGTTTGCGAAAAAGCGCAAGAACGTCGGACAAAACTTGCGAGCCTACTTGACCTAGTATCAGCATGCAAGTGCATTCACTAGAGTACAAATTAAATTAAATATTTTATTTTATTTGTATCCTAGTGAATATAGCTAATCCATTGGATTGTATGAATATTGTACATTGATCGAGAAATGAATAATTCTTAGGTTGCTGACTACAGTTTGGTGATCAAAAGTACATTTTTTCAATTCAACTTCTATTTCACAAGTGCAACTAGTAGCTCGTTGAAAAACCCGATTCTCGATGAATTTTCTACTAGTACAAATAAAGTATATGATCCTACGAAAAAGATGTACTTAATTCATCCACTTCTATTGCATTGGATGAGACGGTTAATTTAATAAAAGCTTTAGAGAAAGTCACAAATTTTCAGAATTCGTTTTCTTTTTTAAACTCTTGCTATGCGTAATTAGTCTTTCTACTGAAACACTCACTACTCTCTAAAAAAACCAGCGCATTCTACAAACCATAAAAACCTCGTATACTCTTTTAAAGAGTTTTGGAGAAAAGAATTGAAGAATTTTAAAAACTCTTAAGGAATAATTAATTAAGGGTTTAATATCGCCGCATTTCGTAATCGTTATTAATGAGTAAATAAGTCATAAGTTTGATATCCTAATAACTGGATTCGAACCGTCAACTCTGTTCTACTAAAAACACTAGTCCCAGCTTTTTATCCATTACCATTGGTCTGTGATACGCTTTTCTCTGAGTGTACCTGGACATAGTATTTCACCTTGAAGACTCATCATTAGAAACAATTGGAAACATACATTTCGACCCTTCTTCTCTCATTTTTTGTTCTTCAACAAAACATCAGAACATTAGTGAAACCTCCCATGATGTATTGTTTGGTTGATCGGCTAATCGATCCGTCACATCTCATAGCGATTGTAGAGAAAACTGCGATTTCATGGTGCACAGTAGCGCCGCTATTGTGCACCATGAAATCGCAGTTTTGATCGCAGTCACCATGAGCTGTGACGGATCGATTAGCCGATCACCCAAAAAAAACCTCATGGGCTACCCAGCTCCGTAATTCCGGTGATCGTTTCGTTATTAGAACCGGTCGTTTCCGGCGCTGATCTGGTGCATTTCCGACCGGTAGCGGCACAGATTAACGTCGAAACTGGACGGAAGTGCACCGGATCTTTGCGACCAGAATCCGCCCCGGATTAATGCCATCTTATTTCCGCCAGTTTGCGGCGGTCGGTTCTGGTAATATATAATATAAGAAAGAGAAAAAAAAGTGCATAGTTCTGCACGGATCCGAACCACAGGCAGTGGACATACATATCATACATATAGATTGCTTATCTGTGACTTATCCTACTAAGCTATCAGGTCCACATATATACTTATCGATGATTTGGCTCTATATATCGATTAAACAGTTTCATCTATACAAGGTAAGAAGGAGATAAGGTAAAAGATGCAAATCTGCAGTTCTGCTCTGTAAACACAGGGTATAAAGTGTGTGTGTTTTACACTCTATGACTTTTTGAAATGTTTCATATTATAGAAAAGACGAGAAGTTGTTACCACACTTATGCAGCACACTGTGAAGGCCACTTAATGACTTTCTGGTCCATTCTTTTCAAGAAAAAAAAACCCTAGCAGTGTCTATGAGTGTTAAATGCTCCCGTTGAAGCAGCTAAGCCGTCGGATTTGCTCAACTTTTAGGTGATAGGCTTTCTTCAACATAATCTAGTAGTGGTAACCAGTGGCGGATCCAGGATTCTACCGACGGGGTGGCGATTTCTAAACGATGTCATCAGAGGTAGTATGAATATTTTTTCTAAGGACTGGTAGTGTACTTGCATTAGAATTCCATTTGCGAGGGGGGCGGCGGTCGTCGAACCGCCGTAGTGCTAGATCCGCCACTGGTGGTAACTGCTCTAAAATAGAATCAAGCTGTATAGACATTGTCTGTTAGTATGTGACCCAGAGTCCGCAAAACGTTTTTTATCCAGAATTGGCGTAGTCTATTTAATATAAAGGTCTACTTTTTCATCTGGACGATATCCAACGTTTTCCAAGAAAAAGCAAACCAGGTGTAGTTTGGCATAATCCCAAAGGGAGATGCGTTATCAGATAAGCGCTGACTCAAGCGAACTGCAGAGCAATTCCAAAAGAACATAAAATAGTACATTCTTGCAGAAAGCATTAATTTAAGTCTCGGATATAAGGCATCTTGACACTCCCGTTATAGATTCAGTGAAACCTTTTCTTGGTTCCATCTGATACCAAAGCAACTCTTATCGTATTTGTAAGACTAGAAAATATTTGCTGAATACAGAACAGCACGCAGAGTTGTACTGCGAGGCTTTCTGATTATACAATTACATTTCGGCTCTTTCCGTTTCGTTTCTGGTCAGTTCCGGTGCTGGATGCGGTAGTCTATCCTGATCGTCGGAAACGACCACCTGAAATCGGTAAAACTTGTCGTTTAAGATTGTCGAAACTGTTCATCGTATTCGAAGGTCGAAACTGGCCGGAAACCGCCGTTTTCGACCGGTGCCGACCTGTGCTGTTGGACCTGGATATATTACGCAAAATAAATCACGTTTGGGTGTTTTCGAGGAAAAATTAGTTAGTTAGACCCGTTACTGTTTTCGGTATAGGATGAGAAACAGAAAAAATACACCAATAAACAAAAAAAGCATTTAAAAAAAGTCAGTGTTTGTGTAGTTTTTACGAATAGTCTGCTGATCACTGCGGAAAACTTAGCCCAGGATATAAGTTACATTAGAATACTACCCTCTGGTGACCCAGCTTAGATAGTACCCATCATTCACTCCAAGAGTCAGTTCCCAGTATGTGTTTAACACTCACATCTGCTGCTAACACGTAATATTGTTCTTCGAATACCAACTTTTAGCATTAGGACATGCTTTGGAAAAATTAGAAAATTCATCTTAATTCAGTAAAATCGATCCAGGTTACTTTAGAATATCAAGACTTACCAAGCTCAGTATGATACGCCGCCTTCAGGTGACACTTTTTCTATCTGTTCCTGTAGATTCATACAGCCCGATTTTGACTCCAAAATAACGCGAACCCTGGGTCACAATCTGTTTTTCTCTTCAACTTCAAAAGACGCATACATATACAACACAGTAAATGTGAGACCACAGAAAAAGTCGATTAATGTTTCAGATATAAAGAATCCAAATAAAAAACGATTCAATTCTGCAAATGGCGCATTAATGGATATTTTAAAATAAACTATTTGAATTTTATCTGTATTATTATCAATAGTACTATTTGATGATAATTTTTTAACTTAATTAAACTTTCCTTGAGCCCAAGTTTTCCCGGTTATATTAAACTAGTGACGCCGAATCTATGTGAGCCAGCATCCATGTAAAGACAAAAGCAGAGTCCCGACTCTATACACAACCACGTCAAACTCGATATGGAAAGACTTACAATTACTTCATTGGGATGTACTGGCGCTTATTATTGCTGTTATTCAAATTAGTGCAGCACATGGAGTTTTTGTACTAGCATAGATGTCGGAATAATCTTTCTTGTTTTTGTTTCTTGTACCGTTTCGCATTGATATAGAAAGTGGCGACAATGGACACTTTGTATTAATTTGTGAATGATTATCGAATCATCCCGCCTATAAGCAATGATGCAGCTCATTGATTCATGTTCTTGATGACGACTTCAGTTCATTTTTTCTATTTTCATTTTTTTCTCCCTATTTATTACTTATTCATTATGTTGCGATTTTTATTTGTAGTGTGTTCTACTGAAATTTTTTCTACTCTTACCAATACGGTATTGTTTGTTGACTGCTTACTTCCTTCTACTCGTTGATATCTTTTGCGTCGTAACCAATCTTTTTCTAAGTTCTTTCGGTAGATTTCACGTCGTAACAGAAGAAAATATCCACTTCTTCCGATTTTTAGTCATCACTTAAGGAATCCTTATCGAGTAGCAACCTACCACGATTATACTTACGTTTATCATGAAACAGTGATTCGTCAATTTGCACCACTTTACCAATACGACCCATTTGAGGTGCCACGTTCAGTTTTTCTGTTCAAACCTTAAAGAATGAATAACCTTCATTATCCGGATATAGTATAGATCTTACAATGTGGTATAATATAGATCGGTGCACAAGAACGTGTTTTCGTCTATATTAACAGATATTCGTCGCTTTTGCATGTAAATCTTTTTATTTGTATTTTCCTTATTGCTTAATCTTTCATTTTTGCATTAAAAGACTCAAACTAGAATCTTACTCTGCTTTTTTATTATAGAGAATACCAAATACGAACCGGGAGCACCAGCTGTCACCACGCTTTGGGGGAGCACCTGCTAAAGAAATACCAACTAGTGGTCTGAAATGTCGATTTTTAAAATTCGTACCATTTTTACCTAGTAGAGGCGACTTTTTTTTCTAGACTTCAGGAAATTGCTATAAAATGAATATTGTTACTGCCTCAGGCCTCATTTCAGCGATCTAAGTTTTGTTTGTCAAGCAGACATTTCTCTTCGAGATAAGAAATGACGTACCTTTGTTGACCAGCTTGAGAGGTAGTTATCAACATTTTTGACAAACCCACAAATGTAGCTTCGGTAAGCGTCGTGGATAAACTTTCGGACTAGACCTTCGACTAATAATGGCTGCAAAGGTACTGTAATCAAACTGCAGATAAATGTACGTCTCCTATTCTCACACTTGCATCACTACTGCAGCTAAGAGTTTTAGAACATTCATTCGTTCCCGTTAGAGCTAGGACAAAGTAGTAAGCTTGGATGGATCGAAGGTTTTGCGCTTGGTTTTTAGAAACAACTTTGGGCAGAGTTGATATGGCGTCAGAGTAATGTAGAAAACATTGTTCATAGTAAGGAGATCTCATTAAACGTACTAAGAATACACTCATCAGTCCTCTAGCAAATCAATTAGAGTATACGCCCAATATGTGGATTAACTTAACGATAAGAGATGATTTGTGACTAAAATTGTAAAAAAGCTATTGTTCAATGAGTTTACTCTTTTTTCTCAGATGAACTTAAAAAAACATTCATTATTCTCACTTCTTTGTTCTAGAAAACGCGTATTCATGTAAACGCCTGCCCACTCAGCCTGTGATTCTTCTTATTAAACGAACACTTTTCATTATTTGTTCCTATTTGAAGAAATATACACAATGTCTAATCCATTTTTATTATTAACGGATACATCAGGTTCATATAGCTATGATTCTCAAAAAACGATGACTTCATCTCCAGCAACAGATGGTATTTTTTTTGTAAAAAATTAAAGAAAATATGCTCATTTTCTGTATTTTTTTTAGTGAGTGAAAATAGTGGCGATATCATCGAAGACAGTGAAATGACGCAGCACTTGTACCATGATCTATTAGAAAATGTTTTATTATGTACAGTCAGCGAAGGTAATACAACAAACAGAATCGTTTTCTTTTTCAAGTTTTATCATTTTACTCTTCCTATGATATATTCACAAGTTTATTTAAGTATTTGTAACAGTTTTAACTTCGTTGAAGTTTTCATCAGACAAAATTGCATGTGCCCAAACGGTATCAGTAATCAGAATTGAAAGAGAACTTCAAAGGCTGCATAGTTGTAAAAAACTATAGAACTTTTTTTTTACTTTTGTAAGATATTTAATGTTTATGTGAGTCCTGTCATCATGCATTAGATGGATGATGACTATTTACGGTCATTTGGGTCCTTTCATCGCTAAAGTTGATGATTCATTTTTGGTATCATTATTCGTTTCGTTTAGTCGGTGTTGAATCATCAAATGGTCTTGTATATTTGAGTGAGTTATATAGCACCCTGCAATCATCAGAGTCGGTCGTCTGGAATAATAACATACTCGATCAAGTAAGAGCAGAATGAGAAAAGAAGATAGTAATGAGAATGAGTTTTAATTTATCATACATTTAAATTTAGGCTTTATTTGAACGTTTACACCTGCCCAATCCATCAGCTCAGTTAGTTCTCCCCTCAAAAACCACACATGGAGGATCGTCTACAACATCACGAGAAGTAATAGAAACACAATGTTTGCCATATTTAGCTGCCTGTTATCAACGATTATTAAGACAAAAGGTGTTTTTTCTCAATGATATTTAAAATTTTATAGAATTTCTTATTCTATTTAAATTCAGGATCGTTATAAACAATTACTACCTACAATACAAAAATTATTCATTGATTACAGTAAGACAGCTTTAACAGTGCCCGATTTATATGAACAAAATTTAAATGAACAATGGATTGGACTACTTTTAAGGGCACAAGGTAATATAAATGAATGTATCTCATCTCAGATTTTTATGACATTGATTTTTCTATTCTAGAAAACAGTTTATTGAAAGATTATACAGACAGAGTAATGGAAGATTTATTATCAGATAGTGATGCTGTTGATTCGATTCATGTTATCTTTGAAACAATATTCAAACAAATATTGAAAGAAATTCAACGACTCGATTATTTTTCGACGTCATTAGCTTCTTATGTAAATTTACTAAGTTATTTATCTAAATGGCCATTGATTGTTAAAGTATGAATGTTTAAATTATGTATTTCATGTTGATAAAACTGTCATTTTTATTTTTTAAGATTTTATTTAATTTTTCTCGTCCATTAAATCCTAAAAATGGTCGTTCATGGGAAGAGACAACATTGCTTGGCTGTCTCTTATCAAAATCGTGCCTTCCACAAACTGGCAAACAATATTTATTTTTTGAACAACCAACACAACTAACGGAAGCTGATATTGAACGTACAGCATCAAAAATGTGGCAAGTAGGTAAATAACGAAAGATCAACAAAATAATCTTTCACATGTTTATTTATTCATCTTACTATTCATTTTTTTATGTTTAGCTTATGAGTCTGTATCAAAATAGTCTGTCACAATTATTTTTATTATTCGTTAAAAACGCTGATGTTAGAAATGATGTTTTAAAATGGATTGGTGATTGTCTGTTAGAGAATAGAAGTAATTTAAAAGCGATTTTTAATTAATACCTATCTATCTACACCAAATTGTAACATCATAAAAAGATATACTGGTGCAAAGCTTTCTCTAAACAAAATCTTACTGCTTTTTTCCATCTATCTGGTGCTTAACTATACAAAATTCGAATATTTAAAATTTTAGGCAAAAGTAAAGAATGGTCATCTCACACACCTCAGTTAACTTCTCTTTTATACGTCAGTGATGGATTTTTAATGAATCTAAATGTTATTTTACTTCACTTGGCGAAACCATTTAGTCAACCTCATTCAATTAAATTATTAAAAATTAATCCATCTTATGCAATTAGCAAGCATTCAAATGTACATTTGAAAGGTATTATAGATTTGTCTTATAAAACAAAGAAACTGAAATTGTTTTTTCTCTCTATTACTGTATTATAGAGCTTCACAAAGATACACCATTCATAGCTCGGGATCCAACAACTACGACAAAAGATGAATCATATAATTTTATCACAGAAATATTTTTTATGACACATTTATGCTATTATATTTCGGCACATCGATTGTACCAACTTTTGATGCGCGTATGTTTGTTAGATGACGTGTTAATTGTTTTTCATTTATATTTTTTTTTCTTTTAAGATTAATCAAGAATTATCGCAAGTTCAACAAGCATACAATGATGCAAACCAGGGTTATGGTGCGCAGCACGAAGGAGTTCAGCGCCTACAACGTACAATGGAACAAGGTAAACTAGTCAACTATAAATAGATATTAGAGATCAACGAACCCTTAAAACATCTGAATCTATAAATTGCAAAATATTTGTTATTTATAATATCCGTATTGCTTTCAAAGTTTTAATTAATCTTTTTTTTTCTTTTTTCTCAGGAATGACAGCATTTTTTAATATAAAAAGTGTATTGAGTGAACCAGCTTTCTTAGATTTATCGAATTGTTTTTTTTCATCGACATGTTCATGGCTCGTACATTTGGCTTGCACAGCATCACCCAATGAATATTTAACAAATTCTACAACATTTAAAAGTGTAACAAAATTACCGTTGTCTGAATATTCTATTAATGAACAACTAAGTTATATACCAGAATTTATACTCGAAAATATGACCGATTTTCTCGTTTTTATCGGAAGATTTAATGCACATTTGTTCGACGTAAGGATTAAGAAAATAATAACAATTCAATTTTAGGCTACTTATTGGAATCTAGACTTTACTCTAGATTTATAATAATCACTTTTTGCTCGATAGTTTGTAAAAAATCACTGAGAGGGAACATTTTCCAAGTGTTCGATTGCCTTTTTACGTGAAAAGTACACAAATAGAGGTTATTTTTGATGTTGATCACGAATCTGATATTCGTTTTTCTCTCATAGTTCTATCAAGTACTGTCTTGTGGAAACCAGATCACGGGAGATCCATTCTGAAACTTTGAGTAGAATTTTCTTTTTTTGTTGTTCTGATAATTTAAGTTTTAAATGATATAATGGGAATTTATATTCTCGATTTCGTTCTAGTTCAAGATTAAAGCTTAAACCAACAATTTTGGGACAATCCGTTTGTAGAGTAGATTGAGTTACACATGTAGAATAATATTTAGACCTCTTGACTGAATTCTCATCCAGAAATAAAAAGTTTGTTGCACGACAAGTTCTCATATTTCTGATATTCATCAACTACTGCAAGTCAAGTTTTTGTTTCTCGGTGAGAATTTAGTCGAAAAGTCTAAATATTATTCTACATGTGCAACTCAATATAATCTACAAAATGGATTGTCCCAAAATTGTTCCACTCAAAGTTTTAGAATGAATCTCCAGCGATCTGGTCTCTACAAGACGGTACTTGATAGAACTATGGAAGAAAAACGAATATCAGATTCGCGATCAACATCAAGAATAACCTCTATTTTGAGTACTTTTCACGAAAAAGTCGATTAAACACTTGGAAAAATGTTTCTTAATAAAATGTCACCTTTCCCTTTGTTTTTTTTCGCATTGTTTTCTCAAAAAACTTGACAGACATTTGATTCTATGTTATGTTTTTAGTCTTTACAATCCTCTATTAATGAGTACGTGACAATGATTCTTGTGTTTATGGGCGATGCAAGTCGTTTAAGAAATCCTCATTTGCGCGCATCATTGGCTGAAGCACTTGAATTATTATTGCCAAAACAACATGCTAATACACGTGTTATAAATAGGTAATTGTCCATAAAAATTGAATTGAAATCAAAATAATTTTGTTTCTTTTATATAGTGTTTTATCAACGAATATATTTACAAATCATCCTCTTATTGATAATTTAACACGAGTTTTGTTAGATGTATTTGTGTCAATTGAACTTACGGGACAAGCTGTTCAATTTGAACAAAAATTTAATTATAGACGGCCAATGTATGAAATACTTGAATATGTCTGGCAATTTGAAGAACATCGACAACAAGTTAAAAAACTTGCCATTTATGCTGAGGAACATATCGAAGATGCTGAAGCTCCATTATTTTTACGATTTATTAATTTATTAATGAATGATGCTAATTATTTACTTGATGAAGCGTTATCTTACATGGCACGTTTAAAAGAAAATCAAGAGGCTCGTAAGCGTGGAGATTGGTCGCAATTGAGTGAACAACAACGTGAAGAAACGGAAAATACATTTCGTCATACAGGCATGATAGCTCGATTTCACAATATAATGGGTATAAAAACCATTTCAATATTAGCAATGGTTACACATGATATACAATCAATATTTTGTCATCCGGCTATCTGCGAACGACTAGCCATGATGTTAAATTATTTTCTTCAACACTTGGTAAGAACAGTGTCATTAATCAACAATTTTATGTCTTTTCATACCTTTTCATTTACAGGTTGGACCAAAACGACGTAATCTGAAAGTAAACGATCTTCTTGAATATCAGTTTGAGCCACAAAAACTAGTAGCAAAAGTAACGGATATTTATTTGAATTTTGGAGAGTCTGAGGCATTTTGTATTGCCGTTGGAAATGATGGAATGTAAGTTCAAAAAGAAAAGAAATATTTATTACTAGAATTATAGATAACTAATTTTTGTTAGGTCTTACAACGATCAATTGTTTCCTCAAGCTGTTGAGGTGTTAGAAAAAATTAAACATCCATCAGAACGAATCAGCAATTTTCTTAAATTAGGAGAGAAGATTAAGGTAATAAAATAAAATAGTTAAGAGTAAAGATGAAAAGTCAAAATTAATCTCTACTTTTTTAGGAATTATCTCATCGACGTCAAGAAGAAGATGCCCAGTTTGATGATGCTCCAGATGACTATTTGGATCCTATAACAAGCACATTGATGACGTAAAGAAAATAAGAATCTGACTACTGAATCTATATAACTTAAATTCTTTTGTTTCCCTATTTTAGTGATCCTGTTATGTTACCAAGTTCGAAGCAAATACTCGATCGACAAACAATCGCAAGACATTTGTTAAGGTATGAATCTGATGAAAAATGAGTTATTATCTGTTAGAAAGAAAACTTTATGCACGAATGTTCTCTTTCTTGGAATCAACCATAGCATGACTTCTTTTCTACTCTATTAGAACAATTGTTGTATTTTAATAATTCAGTTTTGTTACTAATATTTTCTTATTTTTGTTTTAGCGATCAAACAGATCCGTTTAATCGAAATTATTTACGAATGCAAGATGTTCTTCCGCAACCACAACTTAAACAAGAAATTGAACAATGGAAACAAAAACGTTCTAAAACAAAAAAATAGATATTGTTCATTCATCTACTGTTTTTCTCGTTACTCATTAATTTTTTTCCTTGCTTGTTTTTTTTTCTAATTGTTTAAAAATAAAAATTTTACTGTTTTTTTCAAAGATTTTGGCATGTGCACATTTTGCAGTGAACTTTTTTGTCTTAATTTTTTTTTTTTTTTTTTGTTTCAATCTGTTCAATTATTTTGGAAAATAAAGTGCAGATGTTTTTTTATGAATTCCAATTTGTTTAACATTCTGGAACAGAAATTATTATGTTACTTTATTTCAATATCAACAATAGAATTATAGAATTAAAATATTTTCTTTAGATTTTTATTGGACGGTAAGAGAATAGAAGAACAATAATACTCCTTGTTCTGTTTTATTTATTTTTAACTTAAAACTTCAAATACGGACAATATTTTCACATCAATAAATAATTAAAAAAGCAGAATATTTTTAAGATGATCGTGTTTTATCATATTTCAGATTATTATTATTAGGTATGGATGTTGTAATAAATTGGACACAAGCCTTACTCTCCAGTGTTGGCATAAAGCCTCTACCACCACCACCACCACCATCATTCAAAACTCGAGCACCAGCCATTAGCGCTTCTCAATCATTCTACAACCATTTGCCAAATCAATCTCGTGCTTTTCTGCGTATTGGTGGAATTTCGGGTGCTCTTGCAATATGTTTAGGCGTTTATGGCGCTCATGTTATGAGACAAACCGAAAATGAAGATTTAAAACGAGTATGCATCATTCAAAATTTGTTATATTGTTCCTAAAATCTGTTTACGTTTATTGATTTCTTCAGCTCTTCAATTTAGCACAAAACTATCATTTATTACATTCAGTAGCATTGCTCACATTACCACTAACAAAACGGCCATTACTAGTAAAGAAAAATCGAAATAATTTTCATATTAATGATTTTCTTATTTGAACTCTTTTATTTAGACAGGTGGATTGTGGATCGGAGGTATGGCTCTATTTCTAACTCCCATGTATTATCATGCAATCTGTAATGACACTCGTTTGCGTCGAATTACACCGTAAGTATTATCTTTTATAATCTTCTATCAATGACAATCATAAACTGAAAATTGGAGATATTTAAGATATATTTATTACTTCTGTTTTAGTTACGGTGGAATTTTATTAATCTGTGGTTGGCTTTCATTGCTTTTCTAAAGAAACGTGTAGAGCTTTTCTATTATTATAATAACCAAGCATTTCGTATTTATTTTATATTTTCAAGGGTTTAATATAGACTTTTTTTCAATAGAAATAAAAATCAATACGATCATAAACATCAGTTTTGTAAGTTTATATATAATTTTAAAAACACAAAAAAATAGCAATCATCTCTTAGTTGTATAAAATAAATGCAAATTAACAAATAAAAAGCGAATTTTTTTAAAATAAAATTAGAGAGAAACAGTAAACATTTCGATCTTTGTTAATTTATACATGCTTTTTTCAATCTGTTGGTAAAGGTGGAAGCAAAGATCCGATTAGTCACAAATCTATACCAGACAGAGAATATCGAAAAAGAAAATCAATGTATTGTTGGCCAGTATTTTTTGTCATGATCTTCCATGGATTTTCTGGAAGTACATTAAGATCCCCCACTCTCAAAAAAAAATATTCTGGAAACCTTTGAAAATCTTTTTAGAAAGATTTTGAAAACTCTCTTTAACTCGGCAAGGACAAAATCAGAAACGAAAAAATAAAAAATCACCGTTCTGAGATGGCGTTCCAGATACCGGTGATATCTCACTCGGATAAAGTTTTGATGGGATCGTAATGTACACAGATTGGCACTGTCAATGCTTCGAGCATTACAAGTAACATAAGAGAGATCACTTTTGTCACGATGATTATATGTTAATTAAGTGATAAATACTTTATCAAATTTTTGCTTGAAATTCCCATTTCGATCTCTGAGAAATGCAACTAATTCTGGACCATATTGATCGAACAGTTGAAATTTTTCTTCGTCATCATTTGTTCGGTTTTCTTTTGGAACTTGCTGTTTTAATGTTTGACTCAATCGTTGATAAAATATAGATTGGGGATCATCACTCATATGACATCCACTTTCATCAAATCGAGAATATTTGGTTTCATCATTCAATGTTAAGTGTTTTCTTTCTAAATCGTCGACATGACAAGAAGCAAAGACAACTTGACGTTCGCGTGACTTGGACTTTAGTGGCATAGATTTTCTTGTAGATAACGTTTTTGACAAAAATTGGCGTACATCGTTTATAGTCATACCTAAAATGAAAATATTTTATCAAAATATAAATTCTTTCTCTTTCAGATGACCCGAAGTTATAAGTCTAAAATATTCATGATATATGAAATACTTGATGAGTAAAATTACTTTACAATAGTTGTATTGATTGAAAATAAGAGCAAATACAACGGAAAACATTGAAGCACAAATTCATCGAATATTGTATGTGGTAAAAGTTATCTTGACTTGAGTGAGTCAACAATATTCATGTATATCAATAGTATATTCGTGAAATAAAATAAATTTTGATGTACAAATAAACTTTACTTCAATGAACACTTAAAACCATTTTCTGCTCAATTTTCTAATGAATAAAATTTTTAGAGCAGAACAAATGTTTATCAAATGTAGTATTTTTCTATGTTTCGATAATGTTCATGTCTTTTTTTTATTAGCTTGGCAGTCAGTGTCTAAATCTTTTAATAATTGATTGACATTGTTGCAAATGAAACTGAGAACATAATGAATGAAGATTAGTGGCACAGTAGTGCTGACCGAGGTTCGTATTCGTGACGAACGATTGACTTTTTTTCTATGATAGTCTGTCAGTATCATAGACGACTTCGTGTACGGGGAATTTTCTTTCTCACATATTATTCTACAAACAGACAGATAGGACCCTAGAGATCAAACCTAGCCGTTTTTCCGTGTACTAAAAGTGTCTATTTAATAAAGTTCTCTATAATCTAAAAAAGGCCATTATTAGTATTACATCACAAGATTATAACGTATTTTTACCTTTCAACATTCTGTAGACATCTATAGCTTCAGCTTCTACCGGCATCATTGTATAAGGATCCCTTGGATAAGTGTCGGCTAAGCCTGGTATGTAGGAATTCTGTTTAACATGTGTCGAATAATCCCATCGTTTTGTACCAATGACGTTCGTTAAAGCTGATTTTGTTTGTATGATATTTGAATGATGAACAGACTCTTGTTCTCCTAATAAAGTTTCAGTATCAATGGTATCACTTGTGGTTTCACGAGTTTTTGAACTCGATACTTTTGTATGTGAATGCTCTAGGTTCAATACCAAAACATTTTATTGGCTTTGAGGATGGATTGGAACAACGATTCATACCTCGCTTAAGTCCTGATTGGATTTCTGGTGTTAAGGGTTTTTCTTTTGATTCAATTTGTTTTGTTTCAGTTTTGATTTTCTCCGGTGGTGTGACACCCATATTGACAAGCCATTGATCGAATTTTTCCTAATGTAAAAAGTTTAACTGAACTATGTTATCTGGAATAAACAGAATGTCAAAAAGAACTACTATCCTTCACAGTTAATGTAAGATATATGGAAATGTTCAATTCAACTCTCGATTAATGAGAATTAGATAGGATTAACTTTACTCTAACTTTGTTTAGAAAAAATGTGTCGCTTTTTGACTCGTCGATCATTGTGTATTAATATACCTCTCCTTTTTCTTCAAAGAGTAAGGCATGTTCGGATTTAATTTCATTTAGAATATCTTGCATTTTTGATCGTTTAGCCAATAATCGATGTTTAGCTGATATATGTTTATTTTGATGCCACATTGCTGCTGCGAGTAACCTATTAAATGATACAGAAATTAAATAGGATTTCATAGTTTCAAAAGATTATGTACCAAACTCTTGTTTACTTTGCACATTTCTTGTGTCCCCACAACTTTGCTAAATCGATTGGTAGTTGTTTTCGGGAGTCTTCAGCGTATACATCAGCATCATGTTGCAATAAAAGTTCTAAACATTGAACGTGACCATCGGAAGCTGCTTGGTGAATAGGAGTTAAGTTATCATCATTTGTACTAAAAAATTGATAAAATCTAGATCAATTAAAGGTTCTAAACGAAAGTAAATCTAAGAGTTTTTAAAATAGAAGAAAGCTTTCTTGAATCATGATATGAAAGTTCATGGATTTTTAGTAAAATGTGATCACATTTAAACAAGATGAGCTAAATAGAAAATATTTCGGTTATATTTACGTACTCACATGTTTAATAATGCCCCGTGTTTAATCAAATAATCTAAACATTGATAAGCTCTTTTATCCGTCTCTTTATTGATACATAAATGAATTGGTCGCCATCCTGTCGTGCTTGGCATATTCACATCAATATGAATTGTTTCAACAAGATATGCAAGACAATTTAGACGGCCGTGCAATGCTGCTAAATGAATAGGAGCTAATCCCTAGAAATAGATGATGTTTAAATTTATGTGAATCACACATTTTTTACCAATCTTTCTACCTCTTTTCCGTAGGTATGCTCTGTGTATGAATCTTTCAAACTTTGTTTTAGCCAATTTAAATCACCTATAGCCGCTGCCATACAAGCATCACTAACTGAGCGTTTTTTAGCATCAATCACTGATTTTGATGAGCGTGATGACGGTACACGATCGATTTTCTTTCGTTGTAATGTTGGGAGTTGCAATTGGTTTTGAGAAACAGCCAAAGACACACTAGGTGGCTCTTGTCGAGTATTACGACATAATTTTAAGTTGGAGATTGTTTCATCCGACAACATTTTTTACTATAAATTTGTTAATTGCTTCATTGTTAGATGTCTATGTTAAAAAACAGCAAATTTTCATGACTTTTGGTCATATTGTCATAAACTCTATTTCGACAAAAAGTGCTTATTCTGACGATGTATCACTCATTAGCCAAGTAAACGATAGTATTAATCAAACAATCTTTATATCTATACTTAAACTGATCGTTACAATAAGATACGTGTCACTGCTCAGCGGGATGCATTTTTTATGTCGATTTCAAAAACAAACAAAATCAGACTATTAAACTTAATATGCCAGTTGGTGTATATTCTAGGACATTTTTTGTGTGTAGAAGAAATCAAATATTGAACGAAAGATTCTTTTTGATATGTGGGCATGAGCACATAATCATTTTACCACTATAAGTGTTGAGTATATTTCTACTATTTTCTTGTTAATATGTGCAAATAATTACTATGTAGCGAAGTAAGTCATATTTTTAGGGGTTCTCCATCATCCTTCATAAACTGTATATACATAAAACGATGTGATGTAAATTTTGGTTTCGAGTTACATATTAAATATGATTATAAATATTAACTGCCATTTTTCTGATATAATTATTACTCACCTTTTGATACAGTGTTCTGATGTTTTATTATATTATGATCGTGCAAGAAAACAAAACAGGAAAAAAATGTTCACGTGTGTATGTGTAATGTTCACTATGGTTTCATTGTTTTGTTTTCTTCTTCTTCTTCTTCTACTATGCATTAAACGTTTTCATATTCAAAAATTACTAGAATTTCACGTTTAAATGATAAGTATATTTCAGCTTTTGCCACTTAACAATTAAATAGAATTATTTTTTTTTCTTTCTTTTAATAGAAGTCTAACGTGTATTACGTTTATATACATGCTCTATATGCTCACACATACATACACGTACATAAATAGGCACGATACACACGTGAATATTTCGAGGTGATTTCAATATGTTGAGGTCAGTCTTACAGAAAGATATTTTATGATTTTGTTATAGATATTGTATTACAAATATAATGAAAATTAGACAGAAACGAAAGAGAGAATGAATGGTAAGAAATCAGGCGGTTAACAAGGATTCATTTTCACATGCTTATGGACAATGATCGGCTAAAAACAAAACTAATAAAATTTTATGTAAATGTGAAAAAAACTTAAGAACATAAATAAGGAGAACAATATATGCGGGAAATAAAAAGAGATTTTTTATATTTCTTTTTCTTCGTTCAAATTGACGTGTCGAACAGAATTGATGAGAATAGTATGTATTGATTGTAGACATGTGTAAATATATGTATGCATACATAAACACAACTGACATCGATAAATTCGAAAAAATTAAATTAAATTTCTTCAACTATTATATTCTGTTTCTTTGGATGTTTTACTCTTTAAACTTTTAAAAATTAGTCAGTTATCGAGTATGTCTCGATGTGAAAGAAAATTATTTTTAATGATTGATCAATTTTTTAATAATACGTATGTTCGTATATTCTAAAAATATATAGAAATATACGTGTATATTACCGTTGAAAAACGTTGGGATTCAAGTGTTCTGAGAATTCATATTTTTTCATAAAATTTTGCAGTTATGCATAATCGAGTTGAATTTTTTGAAAATCTATATGATCATATGGAAGAAAGGATCTTCTTCAAAATAAAACGTTGGGTGCGTTACTTTACTAAAAACTTGCGCATAATTCACTTGTGAACCCGAAACGACTACACTTAATGAAAATATGGGTCTTCCTTAATGTATAGCGCTCTTTCAAATAGGTTTCGTTTTCCAAAAAAAGTACAACTGCTGTTTTAAGTTTATTAATTCAAAATTCCTTTTGATCTTTTTTTCTAAAACTTGTTGATCTTCTCCGACTTCTTTTTCCGATCCGTATACGGATCGAAACGTTAGAATTTTGAATTGATACGTTTACAATAATTTCCGTACTGCTGAGATTTATTTTGTTCCAATTTTAGTATCTAATACTCGATTAAATCTTTTGGATTATTCAGTTTCAAAATCTAACAATAAATAATCAAAAGAATGATTCAAAAGTCTATTCCTACCAGTCCATGAAAACATGTATTTACTCTTATTAAAAATCATTCCGATATTTTCAATGTTTAACCTGAAAAAAACTTGTGGGAAGTATCAGAAAGATCTATTTGATCCATAATTTACTAATAGCTCGGCAAAATGTATGAATAGAGAGTCGAAAATTTCTTTTTTAAAGTGTCTATTGATATGGTATATGTTTGCTGATATTCTTAATAAAATCTAATGTAAAATAAAGGTTTTTCCTATTTGAAAACACTTAGTGCACAAAGTAGGTATCAATTGAATTTAGTTATCAACGACTTGAAACAGTCATCATCAATTGAAATTTGGAATTCATTTTTCTTTTCTGCTTTTTATTATTGACGTGACGTTTGAATTTCGATGCGATTTTAATCACAAAAGTAAGATATATGGAATAAAACATACAAACTTTAGTTGGTTGAAGAAAGCAAGAGAATAGCTCGAAAAAGAAACAAAGCTGACGAACACACTTGCCTGATTGTCATTATCAGGAGAACGTATCACTGAAAAAAAGTGAGTCACCAAGTTAAGACCTGTTTTCTTCTTTTGTTCTAATACTTCTCAGAGCTCCGTATGGACTGGTCTGGACTTGAAAAAAAATTTTAGATTTGCTTGAATCGAGGGGAATAATTAGTAAAAAGCAGATGGTTTTTGTATTGTGGACTGGACTGGATCAACAAACTGTTTTTCATGGACTCGGTCTGGACTTGACTAGATTTTTTCAGTCCATGAACTGAACTAGACTCATAATTTTGAGTCCATACGGAGCTCTGCTACCTCTAATTTGCATGGTGTGATGTAGTGCAAACAAAAAAATCTTTTTATCTTGTACTTATATCCAATATAAATATAACTATAGTGGTTCGGTATATTGAACACTCGATAGCATGTACAGCAGTTGCATATTAAAACTATCCTCATAGATCGTTTCAATATTTGTTTGTTCGAATATTCCTACTTGCATTCTAATGTTTCGTTGTTTTTTATCATTATTGTTTTTATATTTGAGTCAATATTTATTTCTATTACTGATTTAGAATACGATCTATTCGCCGATGAGCTTAATTGTCTGAAGCACTTTATTTTTTCTTGTCCATATACTATTTCAATTCTTTCTCATTTATTAGTTTATATTTGCTTCTAGTAAATGTTTTTCTATATTCGTTCATGGACAGCATTTAATGTGAACAGAAATGCGAAAAAAAGGCGAAGAAAAACGAACTCTGTTTTCTTTTTCTGTTATGCACCATGTTAAAGAACACATTACCTAATTCAGATTTCACCTGAAATTACATATTTATCGTGGAGCAAAAGCTTTTTGTTTATTAGCGGTATGGTATTCGTTGCTTGATTTCTCTTTCAAAAAATTTACTCAGAAAGACGTCAAGGCTAAATATAAAACTCATCACTGAATATTTTAATCAAGGCTTGAAATCGCTACAGAAGAAATTAAACTAACTAAATAACTAAAATAAACTAACTTTCTTGTTTCGGTAGTATTGTTTGTTGAAAAATTAAAAAGTATGTGTCTTTTATCAGTACAGTTAAAATGATTAAAAACGGATTCAATTGTGTGATACCCTTTATTTATGAATAATAATAATTAAACCAATAAGATAGGCACTAATGTTATCTCATCTTATTATTATTGGCTGAGTATATATCTTTCTAATGCGATCCATCCACTTGTAGATGCTTTCAAATGTCACATCCGCAAAACTAACTTTAATTTCACACTCTTCTTGATGTTGTTAGAAAATATATGTCAGGCTAGAATTTTTGTCAGAGATAAACAACCGAAAAAGAAAGTCGACATGTTTTTACTCCTGAGTGTGTCACAAGAATTTTCTAGAGATTTCGGTCGAGGTCACTTCTAAAACTGATCCGATCGAGCCAGATATTTTACTAGAGATACTCCCATATCTTATTCCAAACTTTTTCAAAAAATATCCTTTCTTTCATATGATATTTAAAACGAAAATAAAAGCATCAGCTCTCATATTAGGTTTTCAGCAATTTTCGATTATGATAGACGGAAAGCATGCTTTTTGAAAAAAATTGGGAATCTAAGATGGAGTCTGAAGTATTTCTAGTAAGAATTTCGACTTGATTGGATTATTTCTTTCGAGTGGTTGTAATGTGGCTGGATTAAAACCGAGGTTTTCAGAGAACCTCTAGAAAATCATATCATACACTCAGGATAAGAACAGAAGTGGATCTTTCCTTTGAGGAATGTTAGTCCATATAACTGCACTCTATGCTTCTAAAGAACAGGAATGGAAAATAGATCAAAAAAATACACACGTTTTGCAATAAACTCCAATTTCTCATTCTACTGGGATACTGCGGAAGAGTTTCATAAAAGTATGTAAAGTGTTTTTAATTTAGCTTAGTTTTACAACCGCTTATCAGTTACTAGAAACTCAAACAGAACTCATTTCTGAAAAAATGAAAAGAAGATACAACGACCGGTTTCAACCTTTCTCGGAGGTCTCGTTAGGTGGTTTCCTTCAAGAAAGACAGATTTAAGGCACGACAAGCAACTCAACTCTGTCCACATCGTATGAACGTGTCGGTAACTTCTACACGATGAGAATGGAACACAATATCAATGGCCACTGTATATATTCTACTTCTCTCCATTAAGTATTTCTTTTCATTCTATCAGAAATGATTCGTCTTTTAACATAAACTGCATCTAGAAACTGTTACTCAACAAACATTGAAACAAATAGCTACAATTAGTAAGAGAGTGGGCGGCCACTTTCAAGATCGAATCATAAGTATGGTGCTTTTTACATTTGTCTCACACACCTTCACACGGTGTGGACGAATGAATGAAGATACGACGATTGATTTCGACCTTTCTCAAATATCTCGTTAGGTAGTTTTCTTCGAGAAAGACAG